ATAAATCACAAGTCACTTTCCAAATAACTGCAGCTCTCCCCATTTGACACCTGTCTTAAGTTTCAAATTCTACTCTTTTATTTTTTTTCTTTTTAAAACCAATTTACAACAAAAAAAAATAAATTAAAAAACTGTTCTTCATCCCCATATCTCCATAATCTCTACAATATCTTTTGAAAAAATCTTTTTAACTCAATGTATATACAAAATACTGTTACACAAATTTGTAACTAATTGCTAAAGAAAAAAATACAATTTACTAATCATTTGAGTAAAAAATAAATTGCTACACTGATTTGACGGCGCAAAGGGCGGGTGGGTTATTAAACTAGTATGAGTATAATAAACTCAAAGGGTATACGTCAGGATCAAATTATTGACTTTTCCAATCTCTTTTTTTTTTTGTTCTTTCCAATAAGGGTTATTGACTTTTCCAATCTCTTATATCCTATTTTGTCATCTTTAGAGAAATGAAGCACATAAGAGTTAGGAGATAAGAGATAGGAGATAGGTAATAGGAGATAGAAATGGTATATTATCGGCAAGAGTTAAATTTGACAAATATAGAAAGTGCTTTAAGAGACAGGTTTGAGGTAAAGCCGAAGATTGACGAGAAAGCGTGTCAAGACTGTTCATCTCATGAAATCTGCGGCTTCAACAATACCACACAGGTTTGCTGCAAAGAACCCTTATCATCAGCATGCAACACACTCCATCCACCCAGCCCCGGCTCTAGACATCTGCTGGAGGTCCATTTATTTATTGCCTTTTTTTTGGATGAATCCATTAAAATTCGGGTCTAATATTTTTTTCTAAACAATGCCCTTTTTCCCAGTTTAGGGATCTCAAATTTATTGAGCCTGGCATACGAAGTAGGAGAACCTTCACCCGGTAAACTTTACCAATCCTTTGGTAATTATGAGCAAAATTTATAAAATAACCGCTGTTAATTTTTTTTTACCAAATGGTGATCATATCTAACTTGGTTTCAAAGATTTCCTTGGGAGAGAGGTTGAGTCCTTTTTTCTAGGGTCGAGTCCCCAAACCATCGGATAAAGTCCCCAAACTTATTACAAAAAAAATCTTTTTAATACTTTTATCATTTTATAACATCTGTTTCATTATTTTTTCCTAATATTTGTTTAAATTTGAATAGTATTGGAAGATTCATTTGTTTTCTCAAAATTTATATATTGTATTGCATTCATTTTTGAAGGTCTTTTTGTTTATATCCCATACTATTATTTGGGGAGTACAATTTACAATTACCCTTAATTAACCTTTTCATTTGTAAGAATTTACTTAAGAATGCCATTAGAAATAAAATTTTATAGAGTAATTAATTCAACTCATTAAGAATAAACAAGTCAAATACTATTTTATGCAATTTAATTATAAAAACGAAAATCTATTATTAATTTCTTTAAAAAGAATGACCAATCAAAATGAACATATAAGATTTGATATCTAACTTACCATATTAATTTGTTATTAATCATTATACTTCACCTCTCATCTTTATATGATTCTATTTCTATGAATAAATAAATCATTATATCATGTATATAAAAAAAGTAAAAAAATTTCCGCATATACCAAGATTTGAATTTTTAAAAATGAATATAAATTATTCAATGTATGAAAGAACAAATTTAACTGGTCAAAAATTCATATTTGAGTAATATATTCCTCTTTTTTTAATATCATCAATACTTAATAGATCAAAAATTTATGAAGTATAAATACTCTAATTTGATATTTTGAAACAAATATTTATAATAGGCGGAGGGTTGAATATAATATATTATATGATAAAATGAGTTATGATCCTTATAACTATTTGAATATTTATATTTAATTTCATATCATTATTTTTTAAATTCATAATTTTACATACTACAATAAAAAATTTAAAAATTTTAATTTGGAACATTTTGAAAAGTTTAATTTAATATATTAAAGAATATCATAAATATTTAATAGATAAAAAAATTATAAATACATTAATTTGATTTCTAAAAAGATATGTTTAAAATATTTATAGTAGGCGGCGAGTTAAATGTAATGTATTATATGGTAGAAAGTTATGATCCTTCTAACAGACGGCATTTCAAGATTTTATGATGAGATGAGTTAAATAAGGTTTGACACTTCTAAATATTTGAAAATTTGATTCTGCAAGCAATTTTTGAAAATAATAAATAATAGATTGTACCTCAATATTTTTACAGGGAATGTAAAATGAAAATATAGAATCCACACACGGATTGAATTTGGTATTTTTATATACCTAATATATGTTCATAACATATTTGATTATGTAAATAATTGGTAAATTCCGTAATTAGCTCAAACAAATCTCTATTTCAACAACCAATGAATCAGAATTTGAAAAATTAATTTCCTAAATTAATTCAAATAATAGCTAATTTTCTTAAGTAATTCAAAATAATCTACGTTTTAGATGCGATTCATTTATTATATTTTGATTTTTTATCTATATGCACTCTCATTTTGTGGTTGTTAACATAAATTAATTCATTGTCCAAACAATATTAATTTTTTTTAAAAATAATCTTATTTTCCGTTTTCATATCTTAAAAAAAAATCAATAATTGAATAATATAGAAAAAAGAAAATATATTCATTCTAATATTATATATAGAGACTCACATACTATTATAATATATCACAACTTTATTTTAAAACATAAAAAATTATAAATTTTGTAATAAATGAAATTCAACTCGTACTGTAGTACAGGTGATGATCTAGTATATATAAATATATATATATATATATTGTTCTTGCATCCAGGAAAAAAAATTCATGAGTCCGCTAGACCAACACAGGCATACTAGACGAGTAAAAAAAAGTAACACATTGCTTCAAACCCCAATTATTAGTTTTGTGTCAAATATTATGTGTTCTTGTTTTAAATAATATAATGATATCAAATTACATAAATTAGCTATTTAATTAGTATTTATTTTCCATTTTGCCTTAGGCCCCATTGCTATATCCGGCTCTGATGTAGAAGTTGAATATGCCCCACCTTATAATGGTAAGCTTCTTATACATCTTATACAGAAGTTGTGGTTTTTAATAAGCCTAAAATTGTTCATTCTTGATGGATTTGTTGATTTATTTTTCAGTCAACAACCATAATCCTTATTTAATAGTTTTCTTTGTTCACTAATAGTTTCCTTTTTCGATACCATTTTTGTGCAATATCTTTAGGGAGAGAGGATGATATTATCGTAATCACAATCCACAATCCATGGGATCTTTAATCATCGTAAAGGTGTAAGTGTAAAAGTGAAGTTTTTATTAATTTGAAGGATAGGGGAGAGTACAAAGACGCTAAGACATAACATGCAGCAAGAAGAAAAATGAAAAACGACAAAGTACCATGAGATTGACGAAAGAAGAGAAGCAACATAGTTGGATCAGTTCTTGCGAAGCACAGTGAGATATTGCATTCCGCGTTTGGCATTATGGAGGCGAGAAATCTGTTCGCATGCCTTGACCTTGACAAGCTCAAATGCTTTCCTCATGACTTCGATTCCAAAATATGCGGAAACGAAAGCACCATAGAAGGCCTGAAAGAAATAACCAATGTCTTGGGGTCTAGCGGAAACTCATTCTTAGAGTGAATGATATATTCGAAAGCCTCAATTGTGAACTTCACATTCTCCTCAATGATTTGCCTTATCTTGCCTTGTTCTGCAAAAAAATAAAAGTTGTACTAGAAAAATCATTAAAATTGACATCTATCTTGTGAAAATATAGATGTTTATGTTTCACCAAAAAAAAAATGAAAATATTAGTTGTCAAATTAACACTGCTACCACAATTTCTAAAAAACTTTTCATTTCTACCAGCTATCCTTCTACTTTTTCAAATGTACCACATTCGTTATGTAAAAAGACGAAACTGTTATTCCTTTTACTCTTCATGTAATTCTCTCTCCTCATCATTAACTGTGCACATTTAACTCAATCTATTTCGGAGACAATTGGATCTAAAATTTGGGGACAACAGGATCTGATGGTTGTCCATCGTCAGATAGTGTGGTTTTACCCGCAAGTGATTTTGATTTACTCTTGGGAGACTTTATTCACTCTGTTACTCTATATAATCATATTTTGTCCCCGATTTTACATTCAATATGTAATCTTGTATTACGAGAATGATACTAATGAAATAATCAACATTCTGCAAATTCGGAGACAACTGGATCTGATAGTTGTCCATCGCTATATGATGTGGTTTTACCCACTAGAGATCTGGACTTACTCTTGTAGGACTTCATTCACTCTATTTCGTAATTATTTTCCATTGGTAAATATGAACTGCATTTAATGCATCGATTTTATCCTTCTGACACAAAGTTGTCTTTTTTTTTTCGGACACAAAGTTGTCATCCTCTCTCAAACAAAATTGTCCTTCTTTTCTGACACAAAACTAAATATTTTTAGGGGCAAATCGTCTTTTTCCTACCACACTATCACACAAATGTAGTAGATTTGAAATTAAATAAGCAAAAGTGGTAGAATTGGAAAGAATTTGGTGGAAAGTGATAGAGTTGATCAAATTTCTTTTTATAATCAAGATAAATATATTGAAATATAGATAACAATATAATTTAAATTATACTAAAAAAATCATTAATTGTGCTAGAAAATCATTCAACTATTTTGGTCAAAGTTATTATTCTTGCCAATTACCCAACAAAAATGAAGTATACCAATTGTATACTAAGTCTTATGCCTTTAGACTTTTAGTGTTGACTGTGGACTCTTATCTGATAGGCTCAAAGAAAAACAATGTCGGTCAAAGAAAATACGTTTCCCAAGAAAACAAAAGTGTGTTAAACTGTCGAAGTTGGATGTTTTATTTATTTAGAGCCTATTATTGGCCAATCTAAAAAATGAACATATGGGATAACGTTATACGATCCATATATATCATTCAGCAATAGCACTCGTTATTATTAGTATATGCGTAAATTGAAGTTTTATTCACTTGTATAATAGGGGAGATCATACAAAGACACTAAGACAAAACAGCAAGAAGAAAAAGACGACAATGCACCATGAGATCGACGAAAGAAGAGAAGCAACAATGGAGGAAATCACATTATCAATATATTTCGATCACGGATTAGTTCTTGCGAAGCACGATGAGGTACTGCATTCCGTCTTTGGCATTATGTAGGCGAGAAATCTGTTCGCGTGCCTTGACCTCCACAAGCTCAAAGGCTTTCCTCATGACTTCGACTCCAAAATGTGCGGAAATGAAAGCACCATAGAAGGCCTTGAAAGAGATGGCCAATGTCTTGGGGTCTAGCGGAAACTCATTCTTAGAGTGAATGATATCCTCGAAAAGCTCGATTGTGAACTTCCCATTCTCTTCAATGATTTGCCTTATCTCGCCTTGCTCTGCAAAGTAAATTGAGGTTTTGAATGTGTCCACCTTTTCTTGCTCGGTGACACCCTTTATAAATCAAAAAGAGATAATGCTAGTTAGTACTTAATACTTATGCAAATTGTAGGTAATACTATAAAGATCAAATTATGTACCTGTTGAGCAAGATCAATAAGTGATTCTCCAATAAAATCCATGACAGTTCCTTTAGGGGTCTCGGACATCTTAACTCCGTCTCTTAGACAAGATCCTAAAAGCAACATCAATCCCCCGGGTACGAGCTCTTCAGCTCTAGCATCCAAAAGAATTTTGGTGTCAATAGAGTACTGATCAAGGTACGCTTTCTTGACAGCTGGGTTGAACCCGGTGCATTGCATGTCTTTGTTCCACAAGGGAGAGTCGCGATCCATGATTCCTTTGGGGATTTTGGAAGTGAAATGGAATGCATAACTCATGACTCCGATGTGGAAACTCTCCTTCGGAAGAACACGTTCAAAGAAGGAACCAGGAACCCCAGCGCTAAAGTATTTTCTCCCTGGAGGAAGTGTCTGGAAGAGAGTGTTGAAATCGTTCAGGCTGAAGTCGTTGAATAGGACTTGGAACTCGATGTTATCATCGGGGTTTTGTCCGGTTTCTCTACGGTACTTTTCTTCTACCGCATCTATTATGTTTTGAACTGCCACAAAAGTGTTAGGTCCACTCGCACAACCGAAATCCGCTACAATGAAGCGATTCGAAATCAAGTCTAGGTCGAGATTGGCTGAGATAGCCTCGGTCATCTTGTCTTTTGTAGCTTCCAACAACGCTCTCTGTATATAGAAAAGGAGACTGTTAAATACAAACATCATAGGAATTCAAAACCTAGCTAAGTACTAATGCAAATCATTTAGATATGAACCTGATACGAGGACTGTTGGTTGTAACTCTCAGGACCATCTCCTCCAATCATGATCCAATCTGGAGTAGTAGTCATGATATCTCTCTCTCTCTTTTTCTCAAACTTCTTTTCTTGTTTAATACTTTGGTTTATGATGAGAGTAGTGATAATCCATGGACCTCTCTATGCTTATTTATATAGTAATATTCATTGTCCTTAAAAAGACATGTGGAAATTCGTCCAAAAAAGCAGCTTATTTTATTATATAAAGGTTGAATGCGTTCAACATAACGCTTCATGTACGACAACGTATAACTTACGGCATTGTGGCAGATGTAAAATGTTAAAATAATTCTATGACCACTATGATTTTAAAACATAAATAAAGTTTAGAAAATTGAAGTATAAGATTAAATATAAAATGTTTCAGTAAAATCTTATTTTAAGCCCATTAATAAACTAGAGACTAGCTATAATATTTTATGTAGTTTTAAAATTATTAATTTAGTGATATATAAATTGACTCAAAATTTAATTTAGAACCGGATAAAGGTTTTGATTTATCAAAATTAACTTGTAGAATATTTACACTCTAGGAGATTTTTCAATGTAACAGGCGAGATCATAGCCGTCAAAGAAGATTTCTTTATCTAGACCAACACGAAATAATTCACATTAAGAAGGGTCGATGTGTTTGTGATGGTGAGAGATTCGGTGACGGCCCAAGAATATGAGATGGCCGATTTTGAAAATAGTTTAATAAAAATATTATTTATTAATTTTGGTTTATATGTTAGGTGAATAATATTTTTCTAGTATTTTTAAAAGATTTTATAAACTTAAGTTTATTATTCCATGTCTAAAAACTACTTTTGTGAGTTAATAATGTAAATGCAGAAGAAATATTATTATTACATACTCTTGGTTCTTATTTCAAAGTTGGACTATAAACAGTAACAGGTATTTTTTAACTATATAGTTATTCAACTTTAAATTAAATATTATATAGTTGGTCTTATGTTTGACAATTCAGAAATAGAGTTTGGAGGGAAGTTGATGTTGTGTTTTATATTGTGGAGAACAAATCTATTTTTGCTTACATCTTTTGTTCAGTTTTTAAAGTGTGTTTGATCAATCGAGTTTGTTCAGCTTCAGTCAGTGCTACCACCGAGCTATTTGCAACAAGCACTATTTTTAGGTGTTAATCATTTTTGTGTCAACTTTTCAGTTAAAATTTCTCTTAATTAAAATTTGAAGTAAATAAAATTTGAGTTGTTGATTTATATATGATTAGGATTTAACCCGCGGTATACTGCGAAGCAAAATTGTATTTTCTATAATAATTCATAATTTATTGGAGTTTTAAATTCATACTATAAAAAAATATTTCTCATTTAATTATTTTATATTATAGTTAATATAGTTGAAATATAGAAATATTTTTTTCAGTTGTTGTATTTGTTACTTAATTGTGTAAATTTGTATTGATGTACTTAGAAGATTTGTAGGTGTAAAAATGATATAGTGTTATTGGCAAGCATTTATAATCATCGACTATTATAATGGTTTGATATTATTTTGTATTAAAAAATTTCACCTCGCGGTACATTGCAGGTCGATTTTTTTAAACTAAATTTTTTAAATTTTAAGTTATATTTCTTTTGTTAATATTGTTTGGTTTGTTTAATAAGATTATATAATTATATTTTTATTTTTAATTTTAGGATTCACTCGTGGTATACCATCTCGTATTAATATCGATCCAAACCCGTCACACCATATAACCCGTCCCGTGAAATTAAACATCATTTAGTTATTTTTCTTTTTAATAATATTTTTATTTAAAAGACATATGATTCGAGTCAATTTAAAAGTTTGCTTTAGATGATTATCATAATATATATATACAAATATTATAAACTTTTTATAGAATTTAAATATTATAAATACTCTAAACGTTTTATAAAGTTTAAATATTTATAATATTTTGAAATTTTTTAAGAGTTTTAATTCCTTAAAATAAAAAACTAGAGTAAACCGGATAAAAATTTCAATTTTGGACGTTTGATAAATCAAGCTTCCTGCTCATTTGTTTTCAGAACAATTTTGGTCCTTTTTATAGTATAATTCTGAACCATTGGTCAATTTTTTAAGCAATGTGGAACATTGTAGACATATTTGTTTTCTTTATTGATTGAGTAATATATGTCCGTTTTTAAAATTTTAAATCATATTTTATGCAGAAAAAATCTATTATTTTATTAATTATATGTATTTGATATAAATCTAAAATAAATTAAATATAAGTTCATATAAAAGTGAAAGAAGAATCATATATTAATATTTAAATTAGGTAGAGATGTTTTAGAGAATTAACAATTAATCGTATGTAGAAACAAAACCAGTTTGTTATCATATTTGGAAGCCACGGTTTTTAAAAGATTTTTTCGAAGAATAATTTGTAATATTAATTAATATATAAACATTTATGACAATGACATTCTCTTGTAAATAAGTGTCAATTCAGGATTTATTTCATATTTGTACTTCGAAAATGTATATATAGATTTGTTTATATATGTCCAGATCTTGTTGGTGGATAGATGACATCAAGACTATTGTTGGAAGTGGTTTAGCATCCGACTATCTCGATTTAAATCAAGAATAAACCAAATAGCTCACGAACTCGGTCCAATCGTGAGACCGATTTTATGGCACAAAGCCCGATTAGCTCAACGGAATTAATTCCAAAACCGACTTGCACAAGAATATAGAAAGATTAACCCGAATCTATCTGAATATTCATGCAGTCAGGAAAAAGAAAGATTCTCTTCCGAAGAATAACAAAAAATAAAATATCCGAAAACCCAGGTACCCTCGATATAAATAGCAAGATATATTGGAGATTGAGCAAAGGATCGAAAAGACATACCTCAAGAACCCGAGACACTTTACTTGCTGAAAAAGTCTAACTTGTTCTTTAAGCTTGTTAGAAAGCTCTTGTAATATCATCGAGTTTGTTCTTTACACCAATAAAAGAAATATGCTTTCTTGTCATCCTTAATTCTCCGGTTTACCAGTGCGGGTTTTACGCACACAACTATTATAACGGTACGATTCATAACAATACAAAATGGAGAGTACGGTAATTAATGGTTTTAAAATAAGTTCAATCGAAACTCTATTTTATTATTGTAAAACCCAAAACAATTTAGGTGTTTTTTGTTTGTATTGAAAGCGTTTAAATGTGACTAAACTGCGAGGTGCAAGAGTTTTCTTGAGACACTTTAAAATTGAAGGGAATCGTTCTAACCTAGAGTAAAAAGGAGACTACACACCTCAAACGGGAGCCACTAATCCACTACAACTTGTTTACCATTAGTTTACTATCTCTACATGATTTTTAGATATAAAAAAATTTCTTTCAACATTGAATTCTCTAATAATAAGAGTTATCATTCGTCACAACATGTAGCACATCCAACACCAAAAAATGCAATTTTTTCCCTTCAATTTTGATAACGCCGTCATTCCAATCATCTTCTCGACGCCCAAAGTTAATTAGATTCTTTTTAAAATTAAATTTAAATTGCAGACCCATACTCAATTCCCCCATAGTATGTCATGAATCGTCATTTCACAAGATTTTCAAGGTTAAAAACATTTTACCCCAAGAGAGAATTCTTACTTGTTATGTGATTTATTGGGTAATCCCTAAATCATATGACCAATGATTCTTTACTATCTCTTTTAGTTTATACTTTAGAACTTCTTATTTCTAACCATTCAGATTATATATGTTTTACTAGATTTTAACCCGCGGTACACCGCTGGATGATTTAATTTTAAAATTAGTATAAAAATATTTTAGAAATTGTATCTCCTTATAACATATTTATTTCTATTATAGTTTACAATTGTTATTAAGTAACGGTATACCACGAGTCCACGAGACAATTATTAATAAACTGAGGATTTAACCCGTATTAAAGCGGTATATAAATATTGATTCAAATTCGTCCGCCATATAAATCTTTTCCGAAATATAACCGAGGTTCCGTAATTTTTTAACCCGTCCCGTGATTTTTTTAATTTTAAAATTTAATGATTATTTATTATATATAAAAGTTTACAAATCATATCATCTTGGTTTTATACAATCTTTTCTAAATGAGACTGATTTAATATGTCTAATATTTGTAGTATTTAAAAAATAAGAATTTAATCCGTATTGAAGCGGCAGATTAATGATGTTTTAATCTTTTTATTATTGTTGATTCAAAAACCCGTCCTGCCAAACCCGTCCGGCCAAAAAAGCTCATTTAATTTATTAATGTTCTTATTTATGATATGATTCTGAATCATTGTCTAAATATTTTAATCTATGTAGAACGTTGAACACACATTTTCGTCAATTGGATAATATATGTCCGTTTTAAAAATTTCGAATCACAGTATATGCAGAAAAAAATTGATTTTTTTTAACTTTATGTATTATATGATGATTCAAAACAATTAAAAACAAATCAAACAAAGATGATATGAGAATCGTAATTATAAATCTTAATCAAATCTTCTAAATATCTAAATTATTATATATAGAATATCCAGTGTATGAGTTGGGTTAGATATAACCCGATCCAACAAAACTTTTTGTGAAGGATTTTTGAAACGGGTCAAATATCCAAATAACCCGGAAGCATTTTACCCATCCGTCACCAAAGTGACTGCAAAAATATTAGTATAGATGTATCAAACTTTTCTCACAAGCTTCCAAAAAAACACAAATGTTTTGGGAGGTATTGGTTTTTTTGTTTTTTAAAGCTTTATTGTCAAGGAGCAAATCATATATAAAACCACACATCTATTGGTCATATCCTTTGATTAAAAGTCTAATGATATATGTATTTGTAGTAAAATATTTCATGATCTTGTTTTTAATATTTTCAATTCATTATATTAATCATTATATTTTGATATTTAATAATCATTTATCTATAATGAATTTTAAAGTTTAGTTTAGGTTTACTCCCTCTGTTCTCTTTTATAAAATGTTTTAAAAAAATTTTTGGTTCTACTTTTATTTCATCGTTTTAAAGTTTCTATCCAAGATTTATACATAGCTAATATTTAAGTTAAATTGTATATCTTTTTTATTATCACCGGATATATTATT